CACGGTAGAGACCGCTTAGTAGTAGCGAGGGGTAAAAACCAGCGCTACTGCTATCAACTTAGTAGTTGCGAGGGTTAAAAACCCGCGCTACTACTATGACATGTCCCGCGGGGCACGGGAGAGACCGCTTAGTAGTAGCGAGGGTTAAAAACCAGCGCTAGTGCTATCAACTTAGTAGTAGCGAGTGTTAAAAACCCGCGCTACTAGTAAGTAGCAGTAGCGAGGGATATAAACCCGCGCTGCTAGTAAGCGTCTGTGTATAAGCTTTTCCCTAGTAGTGTTAGTCAAAACTTATGAAGTTTAACTTCTTAGAACATCTCCAACGGGTTACACCAAATTGCTTCTAAATGTCCGGACTGGATGGTTGGGACACTTTTTACCACCCAAGGTACACCAAAGGTCGTGGACATGAATAAATATTCCAAATCCCACAAACCGATACCACATAAAGAAGCGGTTTGGGGGACTATGGACACACCATGGACAAGCATTGGAGCCCACAACAAACCCACGTTTTCCTCCTCCTCCCTTCTCTCCCCTCTCTCCTCTCTCCATTGGACAAGGGGTGGGCATGTAGTGCACAGGGTTGGATGGTGCCCCCCCCCCCCACCACACACACACATACGTTGTCCATAGAGTGTCCTCGGACGTTTGATGTGCCTGGCTTGATGCGAGTCATTGGAGTTGCCCTTAGAAAACAATGCACAATTGTATTGTGTGATGGTGGGAGTAATTAATTAACCCCGATTCCACATGGCCACATGTTAATGCCATGCATTAATAACCTTAAAATTATTTAGGAGGTTAGTCCATCTTATGGAAAAGTCTATACCTCATTGTAGTGATGTATTTATATGTGCACCATACGTCTGCATTGAAGAACTGAATAGGAAGAAACATATTTTTCGCTTGTAGAAGAAGAAGTAGATAAGGCCAACACGAATGGGGAGAGGGAGACACTATCCTCGAGATGAGAAAGTTATGGATGCGGCTAACCGCGAGTGAACAAGGTAGACACGCACTTCACATGATTGGTAGTATTATTATTTTAAAAAGTAGGTAATCCCTCAAAATCTGGAGTGGAAAAATGCAATTCTTCCAAATTAATTAATTGTATGATGAAGGAAAAAAAACAAGTACTACAATTAATCTGACTCGGTCAAACACATGTACAAAGCTGTACATGCAAACATTTTTATTTCTTGGAAGTTGGTTAGTCCAAAGTCCATGTCCAATATGCGTACCTACATACATAATGCTTTGTTTTCCCTTTGAAATTAATTCAATCCCAGCTGCCTGAAGGACTTGCTTCCTCTTGTTAAGACGAAGGATGATAGATACATAGCACACAAACAGGTCACTAACAAACTTTCCAAACTCCAAAGTATCAATTGATTCATCATTGGTGGTTTGCTGCTTGCGGCTGCGGGTAACTGGTACTCTTGAGCAAGGAGAGGTAACCGCCTTGCAGGTTCTTCACATTCGTGAACCCCTGCAACGAAAACCAAAACGAATCCACATCTCAATCAAAGATGGTGAACTTACTAAGAACATTAAAAAAAATATCAACCATTCACGAACAGACTTACAGCAGCGGCGAGGTCTGCGCTGGCGAGCCTGGACCGGACCCCAGAGCGGCAGCCAACAAGGAACCGGTCCTCCTTGGAGTGGAGCGCCGCAACCTGGTCGACGAAGTCCGGGTTGCGCTCCTTGCCATGGGGTGTGACGGAGAGGTAGTAGGGCACGTTGCGTGCACCGGCGACATGGCCCTTTTCGAAGTCCTCCCACATCCGCACGTCCACATACCCGTACTGCTCCGAGGCCAGCAGCCCACACGCCGCCTCCGCGTCCACGCTCTCCACCGCCGCGCTCATGCTGCTTCGCAGGGAGCCCATCTATGGAGGATCGAGCAGCGGGGAAGAAGGGGCCTCTGTTTCTGTGTGAGGTGGTCTCCGGAGGCTGTGGAGTGGATTCGCTGATGGAAAGATAGGTGCTACCTACTGGTGTTATTTATAGGATAAGATGATGCCATGGCAGTGGTGGAACATATCACACCCGGGTAGCCGCATCCATCACTTCGTGATCGCCTAAAGTCGCCTACCTTACACAAATTACATATATGGAAATGTCAACTACAGACGTATTTGCTGTATTTGTTTTCTATGAAATGACAAGGTGTATAAGAATCTCCTTTTGCACCCTTTTTTTGAAGGGTTTTGTGGCAAGGGGTCATGTTCATGGGTATTGTTGATACCAAAATATAGCCAGCCAGCCATGATCTGGCAGTTGTCTACAGATGCAAGAATATGTATATATGTTTGGTAAGGAAGAAAGTAGTCCAGATTTCCATGATGACGCGGCGACACGCCAGAGCGATAATAAAGAAATGCTCAGATCAGTTGAATTATCTCCTTGTCTAGTGTGCTCCACGTACTCCACTGATAGGTGGAGCGAAAGGATCCTGTTGATCAACAACGACACAACGGTTCCTTTCCATCGGAGGTAGAAAACAATTCAATCATGGAGGGGGTGAAAAGGATTGCATCGGTGGGGGTTCCTCCTCCTCCTTGTCCCCTTATCCTATTCATGGCCATTTCATTTCACTATGGCTTGCATATACGGTACATAATCCCTATTATTTCCTTTTTTTTCAAAAGAATAGTTTTCCAATACTTTGGTTGCCAACTTTATTTCGACGAATGTGTAAATATCTAATATATATATCTATCCATCGAATCAAGGGAGTATGATAGACACACAAAATGCAACGAGCAACATTTTATTAAATGTTTATGAGCATATATTCATGCATATGCGGAGAACATTTCTCAAATCATGATTTTTTTTTCAAATACATGAACACTTTTAATACCAAAATATTGTTTTCTATCCATGATGAATAATGTTGTTATACATGTGAACATTTCTACTAGAGTATGTGAACATTTTCGTCCTTCATTTTATTAGTTATGATTTTTATTATAGTTTTATCTTAATAATTATTTCTCTTGTATATTTTTCCTTCCCTTCCATCATAAGAGGCAACTAGGGCAAACTCTTCCCTTCCATGCTCCGACGGCAAGCCCCTGGATTCTCCTCCCCTCTGCCTGCCGCTCTGGTGGCTGATGGCGGGGAGGGGAATCCAAGTTCCTCAGCTCTGACTAGTATTTTAGATTGGAGTTTTTTAGTCCTTGCATGGGCTGCGCTTTTTCTTCGAGATGCTCTTCCATGCTCTGATTCTTCTAATGTTGTTCATCTAGACAAAGTCGACGGAGCTCCAACATGGATTCATGTTGTATCCTTGAGGCGGCAAGGTTAGGGTTCTCATCGTGTGCGTGTGCAACGGCGAGGTTTGGTGATGGACGCTTCAGATCAGTTCAATGGTGATGACTCTGTCGCCCGGGGCACTGGTTCTTAGGGACATGCGCATCAAGACTTCTCAACTGTTAGCACTGCGTCAGGTTGGCTCTAGAAGGGGAGTGGCGACAGTGACGCGTCAATGTCTCTAGCGGTGGTAGTGGTTGTTCGGGTGGTCTAGGGACCTTGATGTAATTTCTACTATATTTCGGGTGCATTGTAGTTCTGGTGAATTTTTATGATAGAGCTACAACTTTTTCGCTAAAATACAAATCATTAGCGTCCCTATTCAAAAAAAAAAATTTGAGCAGGCGAGCCATGCTACTGGTTGGCCTATAAGTGTTACCCTCTTATGGCTGGTCCATAAGAGCTGACCGGTCATGCCAGTGATGACTGGCCATTTGAGCCTATGCTTTGCAATTCTGTTTATCATCATCATCATCATCATCATCATCATCATCATCATCATCTCTCTCTCTCTCTCTCTCTCTCTCTCTCTCTCTCATCGCGATGACCACGGACAAGTCTGGATGGTAGCGACGGTATTGGCAAACCAGCCTCATGGGTGGTCCGCGTCTACCTCGGCAGGATTGCCGTCTGTTACTGCCTCGATGATGTTGGTGGAAACTGTGTTGACGACGACCTAAGAAAGTTCAGTGGCATCGCCTTTCTCTCACTCAATACAGCTTGCCTGTGAGCCTGTTTATACCAAATTTTATACTTATTTATATTCCATTTGTATTAATTCATAACTTTAGCTCAAATATTGTTGTATTTTCAGCGTGCAAAGAGGACCTAATCACACAACTAGTAACTCATTTGTTAGGTAATCTTGATTAAATCGTCGATGTATACATGAGGCCCAGTACGTTAGGAAGCCATCATGTGTTAGTTTGGCTGGTTGAGTCCGGTAGTAATTATGCTAGGATGGTTAGTAGGAGAGTCCGGTTAGGATTAGTACTTGTTTGTGATGGTGCACGTACTAGGGTACGAGACGTACCCTCGGCTATCAGTTTTGTGTGCGTGTGTTCTTCGTCTGATTTGATGTGATCGATCCTGTGGGCGAGTTCCAACAATTGGTATAAGAGCAAGGTCGATTTGAAGCCGCGCTAGCCCCGGGGTCGCGACCTGACCAGTGCCTCGGGACGGGCGATGGAGTCGCTGGGTGATGCAGCGGCGAGGAGGATCGGGTGATTGTCGTTCGACGGAGCAACAAGGAGGGAGATGACAGGTTGTCGTCGACAAATCGGTGGAAGATGATCGTTGACGGGAAGAGGTGTTGCCGAGTTGCGGTGCCGGAAGATCTCATCAAGATCATTATCCGGTGGCCGGATGTGTCAAGGAGTCGTGCGGGTCAGCATGGTCAGTCGGTCAGTCGTCGTCATCATATCAGCGTCGTCATGTCTAAGAGCTCGTCCCTACGAGGAGGCGTTGAAGATGAAGCATGCCCAGGTCGTCTATGTGTCTCGACGAGAGGATTAAGTTCAACTATGTGAGGGCGGTAAACCAGTGAAGGTGAGTCTCTTCAATGAGGCCATGTCTCTACATGAGGCCGGAGTGCATGGTGTAGTGCACAGGGTGTGTGATCCACAAGGAGTCGGCATGTATCTCGCTAGGTTGGATGATCTAGTCCACCGGATGGTGTATATTCTATAGATTACTAGCGAGGCTGGGTAGTCCAAGACATATTTAAGGTGGTCTATAAATTCGTCAAGTCAAAATTGAAGGGAGAGATTGTTGCATGCAACCAAGCCAACAATTTGACATGTCATGATGCGAGCGGATGAGCGACAAGGGATAATCTACAATGAATCAAGACCAGAGAAGTACAGAAGACATAGTGTCAAGATTAATGAGAGATTGTTAGGTAATCTTGATTAAGTCGTCGATGTATACATGAGGTCTAGTACGTTAGGATGCCATCGTGTGTTAGTTTGGCTGGTTGAGTCCGGTAGTAATTATGCTAGGATGGTTAGTAGGAGTCCGGTTAAGATTAGTACTTGTTTGTGGTGCACGTACTAGTTGAAGTTTAGCGCGTCTAGGAGTCTGAGTAGCATTGTTTGGTCGGTTGGTTCTGTGTGTGTATATATATGGCATTGTAACACCGGGAGTAAACACTAGTGCAGAACCAGGAGTAAGGCCTTTTAGTATTGGTTCTGTAACCGGTATTAAAGTGTGGGGACTAACCCCCCTTCCTTAGTACCGGTTCAACATGAACCGCCACTAAAGATCCCGGTTGGTAACACTAATCGGGACTAAAGCTTATTTTTGATTTTTTTGAAATAAAGCAAAAACAACTCATCTACTGGGCCGGCACGGCTTGCATACGACTAGAAACCTAACCTCTAGTTGGGCCAGGATGCAGGCCTGTACGACCCAGTAGGCCTCACAGGACAGAAGACTTGCAATAGGCCCACAAAGACCTGCTTAGAGAGGAGCTTGACACGGTAGCCGCGGCGAGGCTTATAAACCGGTGCGAGCTTCTCTCAACTAGCGAGGTGGGACTAAACATTATGCACTGCGGGTGGCAACGCACCCCTTTAGTACCGGTTCGTGGCACGACCCCGTACTAAAGGGGGATATTTAGTCTAAAGGCCACCGCCTCTTTAGTACCGGTCCGTGGCACGAACCGACACTAAAGGTTCGCCACGAACCGGTACTGATTAGCACCATTCGCCTAGCCGTTGAAACCAGCACTAATGGTCACATTAGTGCCGGTCTAATTACAAACCGAGACTAACGAGCTTCACATTAGGTCATTTTTCTACTAGTGAAAGAAGAAAAGAATAAAGAGAGATTTAAGGGTACGAGACGTACCCTCGGCTATCATTTTTGTATGCACGTGTTCTTCGTTTGATTTGATGTGGTCAATTCTGTGGGCAAGTTCCAACATCATTTTGGATTAGTTGTGTTGGATGAGAATAAAAAGTTAATGCCTCAATTTCTCTAGTGTAAAAATGCATTTCTTTCAACTTGATCAGCTGTATGAAAGGAAAGAACAGGTAGAGAAATACTCGGTATAAGCTTAGTCAACCAAATCCCTAGGTAACCAACTGTGCCTGCCAATATTTTTTCCCTTGCTTGTCCATACATTCTTGAAGAAGACCAAATCCAAGTCGAAGACTTGTTTCAAAAATAAAATTCCAAGTCGAAGATGCATATATAGTTTTATACATACAAAATGCCTTCTTTTCCTTGGAAATTTTCTCTGTACATAATAAATAATAGATCACCAATTAACTTATTCCTGAGAGCCTTCAAAACATAAGGAAAAATAGTGAAGGTTGGCTAGTGCTGCCGGCTGCTGGTAACTGACGCTCTTGAGCAAGGAGAGGTAGCCACCCTCCAGGTTCTTCACCTTCGTGAACCCCTGCACAGACCAACCAATCAGTAAATCGATCCACACATCCATAAGTCAGTGAGTTCAACCAATGGGTCGCAGGACTACAACTTACGGCGGCGACGAGGTCGGCGGCGGCGAGCCTGGACCGCACCCCGGAGCGGCAGCCGACGAGGAGCCGGTCCTGTTTAGAGTGGA